CACACACACACACACACACACACACACACACACACACACACACACACACACACACACAGTCTTGTTTATTTATAACGCAACATTAAACAGCAGAAGATTTGTATGTTATTGTGTGTGTACTACAGACTAAATTGATGTCAAATCTGTCTTAACCTCTGTCTCCATAGAAAAAAGTGGCTCAGATGTCATTAGAGGACAAATAGTTTGTGTCCAAAACACTGCGATAGAATAATTAATTATATTATATTCAACTTTCTCTGTGTGACATTTTTTTGTGCTGAACATAATATGTATTAATTTCCAGAATGTTAACCCGTTATAACAGTGTCTTAAATAATAAATGGCCATTGTTACTGTAAAAAAACAAAAAAACATTTAATATACTATAGAGGGGAATTTTTTAAAATATTTTAAAAATATTTGTTTTGAGTCTGGGATATGTCAATAATAAGCAACATTGATTATGACACATTCTTATTTGAAATGTAGCATGAAACAACAAAAATAGCCTGTATTTGTCCCATTTTTAAGCAAGTGCTCCATCGAAAGCCTGATATAATAGAGAGCAGGACTTAATGACATAATGGCCATGGTCCAATGGGGACATTTTTGTCCTTTAGGCTCTGACTGTATATGAATTTAGATAAACATACTTTATTTTAGACTTTTTATTGGAGCTGACATTAATTTCCATCTTATTAAATCCTCTACTGGAAGCAGAGGAAGGGATGCAGCTTCTCGCCTGCCTGTGAAAGGGATCGTGGGAAATAAAGACTTGATGGTTGATTTTAACAGAAGCCCTGAGAGGCAAGTGAAGAAGGCAATTTTAATGATCCGTCTTATCATTTGAATCTAAAAAAACATCCCGAGTGAAATCCTAACTACATATTTTTCAACCTGTACGTTTTTGATCCGTGAGTAAAGGACTGCACTGGAACAATTCCACCTGACTTTTGCAATACTGTGTGCACATGTGTCTATCAAATAAAATACACCTCTTTTGAAGGTGGATTTTCTTCATTTTAGGATCATTTGTTTGTGTTTGGCCTTGGCATTCGGGGCTTTAAAAATAGCACTTTACCCCTGCTTACACCTAGAGAGAGGCAAAGTCCCGCCCTTCTACTTCCGCCCCATGGGACCTTATTTTGGAAAAATTATGTATTGAAGTCAATGGAGAGAGAAAGACTATCTCTCGATCCGGGTTGAATTGTGCCACGAATTACACATATGATGTTTGTCAATCTTAAAAAACTATTTCCATGTCAAAAAAGTCACAGTTTGTCGTAAAACTGTTGAAATATAAGACTATGAAAAATACGCAACTAGAAAGACTACAAATCCCAGAATCCCGGTCCCGCATGCTGGCTCTTACGAACCGACTAACTCCCCTTGTGTGTATGTACAGCTCTCAACATGCCCAGACTTGTAGTGAT